GTACCACACAGGAGGTCATACCTAGGCTGCAGATCTCCTTGCTCTCGGTCCAGTGCTCATCTAGTGTTTTCCACGCTGGGTGCATGGTTTGTATCCCCTGGGGTGGGCCATCGTGACTAGTACTGATTCCAGACCCCACACAGCTGACTCGGGCTTTCCAGCATGAGGCCTGGGGGTCTGCACTTCTAATCATATTATCCCAAGTCTCTTGGAAGCACCCACCTTGGGGAAATGGTGCTGACTTGGTTGAGCAGCTAACACCCCCTTAACCCCCTGGCTTTGGCTTCCCTCTAATGAGAGAGGGTCTCTTTGCTTACTCACCTCCACTGCTCATGAAATACAGAAGAGCAAAAGAGAGAGGCCTTCTTTTTACCCCAGGAGGCAAGAAAGGATTTCCAAGACTCACGCTACTCCCTGTGTGGTTCTGGCCTTATGTCATGTAGGTCTAAAAGTACCTAAGGCTGGGTCCCAGAAGGGAGGTTGTGTATAAGCACAGGGCCTTGGAATGTATGTAAGTGAGGCCCAGTGAGAGTGTGCAGCTGGGGCCCCAGCCCCATATGAGCCACACCGTGGCCAAGCCCCTATCAGCAGCCCCCTGTCCTCACTCTGGCTCTGCCCTGAGCCCTGGCCCTCAGCCCAGCCCCAGCCCCCGCAGCAGCCACTGCCTAGGACCACAATTACAGGGGCCACTGGGGGTGGGGGAACACGGAGGATGAAAGGTAGCTTGGAGAATGGTTCCAGCTGTGGCTGCTCTGGAGGAGGTCAAGGAAGGAGTGCCAAGGGAGGCACCAGGGTGAAAACAGGTGGGACCCTCGAAGCCCTGGCCTAGCCCAGTCCACCCCCCACTCAATCTGAGGCTAGCGGGAAAGAAGTTTATCTAGGTGAAGAGGAGAGGAAAGGCACCCCGGATAGTCAAGGAGGCCCTCTGTCCTATTGTCCAGGCCTCTGCAAGGTAAGGGAAGACAACTTGCTGCTTCTGGTTCCCAGTATGCTTGGTCACTGTAGGGAAAGGGAGGTGCTTCCTGAGCCCTTGACCTTGGGCAGATCCTCGACCTTCTACACAGCCTCACCCATCTGCCTGTGTTCTGCCTTCTCTGTGCTCACTCACACATCCGGGCTGCCTCTGTGCTCTTCCCCACTCTGCCCCGTTCCACAAGTCCCCTACCTCTCAGCCAGCACAGGACCTTGACCGCCTGGGTAGGCAAGGAGCAGGGTGCAGGGCACCTCTGAGCTCTGCTTTTGATACTCTTCTCGGGCAGCACTGTGAGAGCACACAGCCATCTCCAAGCCCAGAGGGGAATGGTTCCAGTGGTGTCCCTGGGCCATCATTGTCATCCTTCGCAGAAAGCCCGTCCCAGACTCCTGTGGGACTTGGTCGCAGAGGTGGGTCACTGACATGTGACTGGCAGTTTGAAGATTGTAGTGTATGTTCATGATGTGCTGAGAAGCTATCAGGAACCCCTTGTTTGTGGGGGGGAGACTAAGTTTCAGGCAAGTTAACTCCCCTGACCAAGGTCAAGCTCACAAACTAGGCCTTTTTCTCTGTACCATTGACATCCTCTGAATTCCTTTCAGCCTGCATGGGTGGCGTTTTCACACCACTGTCCCAGTTTTCTCCTCTGGCATGATCAGGAAGATACCCAGCAGTACCCATCCCATCTTACCCCTCCCCAACATACCTGGACAGAGCAGTAGTAGGGACTGGGAAGCTGGCATCCCAGGCCAAAGTGTAACCAGCCCAGAGGTCCCAGAAGTTTGGAACCCTGGCAGCTCACACCAAGCTGTCAGTAGGTCTCCCTGCTTCCTTCCATTTCTGCTCTCTCCAGTTCTACACTGAGTTCCTTCTCCCAGATGTCCTGCTTCCTGGTTCTCCCTGATAGGGAAGCTGGACTCTGCAGCCCTCTGGTGGTCTCTGAGAGAAGTGCGGAACATTAAAAAGCTCAAGGAAGAGCTCCCAGGTAGGCAGAGCTGTGAATATAAAACCTCCGGGCTGGGAGTTCGCTTCTCCTCTGTGTGGTCCATATGTCAGTTCCACACTCTCCTTTGGACAGTTAACACAGGAGAGAGGCACTGAGTCCAAATTCTGCATGAGCTTTCTCTGAAGCCCAGGCATTTAATCCAACCCTAGATCAAACCCCAGACGCTCAATCCTTCCCAAGGCAGCCTACCCCACCCCTCCTGCTCAGGGTGGGCTTGAAGGGTGAACCTGGCTAGATCCTAGAGAGGATGCAAGGGCATTATAGGGGAAGGAGGATGTACCAGAAACCATGGTTACAATCTGTCACATCCAGGAGGAAGTCCCTTTTCTTCTGTTGCATTTGAAGAACTCTGCTTCACTCCCTGTGCCCTCACTCGCTGTGGCCCCGGGAGACTGCCAATCCTCCTTATGGTAGTATACCTCCCTGGATACTGTTATTGGTTCAGAGTCAGGCAAATTACCTGGATGAATGAGTCAGGGTCTCCTTGGAACTATTCCAAGTTGGTGCTACTGCTTAGAAATTTACAACATAAACCAATCTGGCTTCAGTTTCTCTACCTATATAATGGGGAGATCACCTTATTTCAGTGATCCACCAAAACATAACAAACAACCCCACGGGCCGGGGATATAGCTCAGTGGCACAGTGCCTGCTTGGCAAGCGCAAGGTCATGAGTTCAATTCCCGGTACAAAAAAAAAAAAAAAAATCAAAGTAGTTACTTCTCAGGATTTTTTTGTTTGTTTGTTTGTTTGTTTGTTGTTGTTTTCTGGTACCAGAAATCGAACTCACGACCTTGTGCTTGCCAGGCAGGCTCTGTGCCGCTGAGCTAAATCCCCAAGCCCCTACTTCTCAGGATTCTTAGGTCAGACATTTGTCAGACATTGGTTGGTGGTTTTGCTCCATATGGTGGACCCATTGACTGTCATCATTCACGTGACTACCTTGTGCTGGTGGTAGGGTTTGGCTGGGGCTGAACGGTCCAAAAGGTTCTATTTTCATCTTCAGGGATTCAGAGCTTCTCCAGTGGTCTTGTTCTCCCTGTGTAGCTGGCTTGGGCTTCCTTACAGCATGGTGGCCTTAGGGTTAGCCAGACTTTTGAGTAGAGAGAGTATGTGCTATGGTTGATACATTGTGTCAACTTGGGGAGTCTAGAATGACTCAGCAGTTCTACATCCTGGGGTGCAAAGGACATGCCCTTCCTACTCTAGGATGTTGTTCATTGTGTCTGTGAGAAGTTTAGGTTAACTATGTGAGTGCCGCCCCCTGGGTGGGGGTAGTCTTCTTAAAATATAAGGGATGGAAAGAGGCTTGCATGCACTGCCATTCCTCCTTTTTGCTCTTGTTGCTTTGCTGTGTTCTGCCTCCATGAACGTTTGCCCTCTGCCATGTGCCACTCTGCCTCAGAGCCAGCCAAGTATGGACCGAAACTGTAAGCTAAATAAATCTTTCCTTCCTTAATTCTGGGAATCAGGTATTTTGTGTCAGCAATGAGAGAAAAGTAACCAGACAGAATGCCACACTTGAAGGCAAAAGAAGTTATATAGAAGTTGCAACCTCAGAAGTTACATAGCATTATTGTCACTCTTTATTGGTCCAAATAGATCACAGAGCCAGCCAGAATTCAAAGGGTGGGGAAATAAACTCTACCTCTCAATGGGAGGAGCAGCGAAGAAGCTACAGCCGTGAAAATTCACCTCACAGTGTCACAGACTTCTTGGTTGGAGCTCATTTTTTCCCTAAGATGTGGAAAGCCCTTAGCACAGCATTTGCCACATCATTTATATCAAATTTATGTGTAATAAATGGTAGTTACTGTGAGAATGGTGGTAGAGAGTTGGTGCTTTGCAGGTATTGGGCAGGCCAATAATGCAAAGAGAGATACCCAACTTTTAGATTAGGCAAAACAATGGGAAATCCATTCATTAAGTTTCAATTTAGCCCCAGGGATTCAAATGTCTTAGGTCTCTCTCAACCCCTGCCCTAGTCCCCCACCTCCCACACCTATTGTTTCTGCTTGTCTCTGCCTCTCTCTGAGTTCTTGTCTTCATCCTCTTCTCCTGCACACATTCTCTATAGACAACTCTGTGCTTACATTCTTAGGACCCGTGATCCAATACACTGTGGTCTCCTCATTGCATAGGTAAAGAAACTGAAGCCAGGTTGGTCTATCTTCTAAGATTCTAAGCAATGGCACCTGAGTCCAAGCTCATGCACTGCCCCACATACCTTGATGGGCAGAGTTATTTCCCATTGCAGGATTCGGACTGGGGGCAGATGATGTCCCTGAATCCCCACAGTTGGGCTGTGGATAAAGATGGGGGCATCTGGAGAACCTAGAATTACCTCTGTGTCCCTTCACCCACACCATCAGCTTCCAGAGAGGAATGAGAAGACCATGTGGATGGGTGTCAAGAGAAACCTTGGGATAACCTTGCTTCCTCTCCAAGTGTGACTAGAAATGCTGACCAGGCAATCTTTTCAATAGAAAAATAAAATAAAATAAAATTTTAAAAAAAAATTTTAAAAAATCTTTTCAATACAAAGGGGGTGGGTTGGGGGCTGGGGGGGTGAAGTTAGTTTTGGTGGTAATAAAAGCTGGTGTTCTAATCACCTAGTTTCATCATGTTCATCAAGTGCTTTAACCCCATGAACATGGACAGGACAAAAGTCTACCCCCTTGAATTCCCCAGATCATAGAAACAGATACGATGCCCTAAAAATTAAGGGGAGGGCCGGCCCAAGAGCTGACCACACCACCAAAGATGCTTGGTTCCTTTTTACTGGACCTTCTCCTTGTTCATGTAAAAATCAACTGCTGATTCTTCCCTAGATCCAGGCCCTCTATGCAGGTCAAAAACGAACAAAAGAGTGTCAAGGGAAAATGCCCAATCAGGTGCCTTAGGGAAGATAAGAGACTCAGGGTGATGATCCCTGAAGTCTGAGCTCTGTGGAAACCACCTCCCTTTGCACAGCAGCCTGCAAGAAACCAGCCCTTTTCCCAAGCTGTGGGTCCAGTCCTATTGGTTTAAATATCTTTATTGATAAGAACCTCACCCAAGCATCCCATGGCCAGCAGTTCTGAGGAGTCCAATTTCCAGAGACCTGGAGACTGGAGTTTTTGTTTCCACCCCATTAGATATGGCCTGTATAATCGTCCCCAGAAACTCTCAGAGCGCCTTTGCAGGGACCCTCTGGCACCCTGAACCTTCATAGGTCTGGCGTATACCCCAAGCTCCGGGCCTCACAGGGCTGGCAGATGGATTTTCGAAGAGCGAATTGCGCAGGGCAGCACCTCCTGCTGGAGCCCAGGAGTCCCACAGGTGCCGAGAGATGGCTCTGCGCACTTTTGAGAGGCGGCAGGTCAGAGGCAGAGGCTGAGTTCCTTGCGCACGCGGCAGCGGTGGCATTGCACTACGCAGCACCAGTGGAAGCGGCACAGGCAGTTCTCCTCGAGCTGCACGCTCTCCTGGCGGTGCCCGCGGCCGCAGCACAACAGGTCACAACCACTGAGGTCCGGGGCGCTGCTATTGCAGGCGCGCCCACGCGTACCCGGCGAGCCGGTGCGCCTGTTGGGGGCGCAGAAGTCCGGCGAGTCAGCGGCATAGAGGAGGTCGGCGCGGCCGGGCGGCTTGAGTGTGCGGACAGCTGGCAGCAGGGCTTTGCCGTCGTTGGTGCCCATGACGCGTGAGGCACCGTGGAAACGCTCCAGTAGCCGCGCGCCCACCTCGCGGAACGGGGGCAGCTTCTGCCAGCAGGTGCGCAGTGCGCAGGAACCGGACAGACCGTGGCACTTGCACTCCGTGCGCGTGTGGCTCCTCACGGCCTGAGGGGAGCAAAGGAGCGAGTGAACGGGGACAGCTGGGGATGGGTGGGTGCAGGAAGAGAAAGCGCAGAGGATGGACAGAAAATAAGATGGGGAAGAAGTGTGAATGGAAGAGAGGGAAAAAGGGGCATAAAGTGAGGAGAAAATCAAGGAAGGCACAGCTCTGACAGGAGGAAGAATGACAGTGGTGCAAAAGTGGGGAAGGGCAGAATAGTGCCTAGTGCAGACTCCAGCGTCCGAAGTCAGAGATTAGGGGTAGAAAGCAAGAAGGATGGCAGGGGGTGAGACTCGCCCTAGAGGGGGAGAGGTGGCAGCTGTCGCAGACTAGCTCTTCTGCCAACCCAGACTCCTCATTCCTGCCCCTCAAGGCCCCAGGCTGGCTGAGCAGACACCTCAGCGTCTGTCTTCTCCACCCCTCCCCAGGCCTCTCAACAGGTATGTGGGCCTGTCCTGACATTCCTCTCCCAGCCCCCTCCTCCCGGTTTGCCCAAGGCCTCAGCCCGAACCCTGAAGGACACAGGATGTGTGTGACAGCATCCCTAGAGCACTTTAGAACTCAGGCACAGGGTGCAGGAATAAGGGCCTGTGGAAAGGTATCACTGAGAGCAAACTCAAGCGTCCTCCTTTTATTTATTTGCTGTTGTGCCTGAAGCTGGGATCAGAGATTGGCAACCTTTCTGGAGATGTATGGGTCAGTTGACCCAGGAAAATCATCTCTGGAGACTCAGAAGTCAGTGGCCAACTCCACTGCAGGTTTGTGTGACTATCCCCCACTCTCTCTCTCTCCCACTGCCCTCCTAGAGCCCATCAGACTTAGACCTGGGCAGGCTTCCTGCCCCTAAACAAGAGGGGGCCTAGGGGCCTTCTCATTGCAGATGGAACGGCGGAAGTTGCTATGGCCCTGGACAGGTGAGACCTGGTCTGGGACTGCTGTGCAGCTGGTTGGCAAGGATCTAGAATCAGCAGCAGCTTTCCTGGCCTCCGCCTGACCCCTCCTACCTTCACCACAACTGGCTTCCAGTTCTTTTCCCAGGTCTTCAGTCTAGCCCCTTTCAAAGCCTCCCTTGCTTCCCTTGGCTTCTCTACTCTTACCCCAGCTTCTAGCATTTTTTTCTTCTGTCTCCCTCCCCCACCTTTGCCCTGGCATCCAGATGTGTACCCATCACCAAGCTTTGCCCCCCTGTCGTGTCTCAGAGACAGTTGTATCTCCCAACTTTGGGTCCCCAAGGGCTCTCAGTTCTCTTCCCTGCAAATCTCCTCCCCTCTGCCTACTGTAGCACTCAGCACCGCTCCCTCAACCACCATCCACTTCTGGGTTGCACGGCTCCCCTACCTCCCCTCCCAGAGTTCCCAGTGCCCCCTTTCCCTGCTCACTCTCACACTCTACACCTGTGCACCTTCGTTCGTGCTGCACTCCACAAACACATGGCCAGTGCTGTGCACCACACACTCCCCACACTCTGCCCACCCATACGCACCAGCCGGCCAGCCTCGTTGTTGTGTAGTTGCACCAGTGCTCGGATGTCTCCGCGTCCGCGCTTATGCCTCGCGTCCATAAACAGTCGTGACTTCTCGTCCCCAAAGTCTACGTCATCACCGCAGCCTCCCCACTCCCAGGCAGCGCTGGCGTCTGAGGAAGCCATGGGCCCGGGAGGCCCGGGGGTGCCCGGCAAGCCAGGGGGTCGGGGCTGGGCCCGTCCGCGGGGTGCCTGGCAGCCACACTGCAACAGCTCACCCATGGAACAGGCCTGTGTGACCGCATGGCTGGCACCGGCCGCGGTGATTGCAAACACGAAGGCGGTCTCCCGAATGTCTGCGGATGCAGGAAGGGTCAGTCAGGCGATGGTTGTCTGGGGCTTGGGTGCTCCTCAGGGCAGGCTGGGGAGCTGTGGAGACTGCAGCCTGGCAAACCCCTAAGAGACAGGGTCTGCCCAGTATGCACTCTCCCCCAACTCCCCCTCACCCCTCCCTACTCCCTCCCCCCC